CATTAATTCCTCTTCAGGTTCATATAGTTTCTACAAAAATTAAATCGACTAATAAATGATGATGTTCTATTATGGATTCAGATAGCATGCAGCATAACAAGTCCTTACAATTAGCTCCACCTTTAACAGCATTAGATTTAAAATGATGAACACAGTAATAGATAATAAATCACAATCTACTGCTGAACATAAAATGCCAACATACACAACATACAAATATTTATTTAAAGCAACCTGTTGGTTTTTCATCCTTGTCGTTAATTGCTTACAATTCTAGCATTGTGTACATGTTTTGTTACCATTGTACATGTGATCATCTTTATTGTTTATATCAATCTTGTATTTGGACTCTTGTCTACTTTCTTCTGCAACTGCTGCACAACAATCTTTCTTGGAACAATAACAGTTTAATCTTATCTAGGGCTGCACGATTTGGTGAAAAAGTCATATTGAGATTATTGTGGACAATATTGCGATTTGCGATTGAGATTTAATCAACAAAGTGTAATATGTACTTGCTTGGTCAGGGAAAGGAAAGAGCACAGACAAATGATCATTTTGAAATCTGTATTTCTCAAAGAATCATAAACAAATACAATAACAAAAATATCTTAGTAGTAGGCTACTGTTTTGAAAATAATTTAGAATTTGACCAAATAAAATAAATACCAAAATATATCTTCTTTGATTTAAAGGTTTTTTCTGCATACTTTCTGCACTACTATACAGTAAATATAAGAAAACATACACATTTTCATAAAATAAGACATCTGAATGCCCAAACAAATGAGGATGTAACAGAAAAAAGAGCAAGTAACACAATGGGACATATTGTGTGTAACCTCTACAATTGGAACAACATATGTTAAATAAAAGTGATACTCAAAGTATCGCCATATTACAGATGTACCATTTTTGTTGGCCACCAATGAACCTGAAAAGGATATTGCATTGTTTTTGTTACTTTCATTGCTATTGTATACATTTCTTAAACGTAATTTAACTCAACTTCCTGTTTTATTTAGACATGCTTTTATTCTGAAGGCGACATTGCGCTATTAACAGGAAGCTACTGTTCCCAAAGAAAATAACTTGAAGGAGATGAACGGAGATAAAGTAAATACATTAACGGAGATATCCACATTTAAATACGGCGATATCAAAATAAAACATTTACATTAAGTATCCCCCGAAGAGACACAAGGTTAGTGTTAACTGTAATATAAAAATGTGTCCTGATTCGTTTATACTGTTTTATAACTCTGCAATCTTTTTGCAGTTCAATTGTTTAATGGTATGCTAAAGTGATGCTAATATGGATAAAGTAGGGGTGTCCAAACTTTTTTCACCTAGGGCCACATACAGAAAAATATGCGATGGGCTGGGCCACTCACTAGAGGTATACTGCCTCATAAGTTCAGTTATAAGTTAGCAAAATCAATCAAATGAAGGTCAATTATGCTTGTGAGTGTTGGCAGCTCATCCCTTAAAACAGAAGCCTCATTAGATTGATTATAATAAGGAGAAATAGGAATGGTGTATTTCAAGCTTGTTATGTAAATAAGTCATTGGGCTTTTTTCTTATCAACTAAGATACCTTAGAAAATGTTTCCAAATGTAATTGACTGAATTTATTTGAAAAGTGGTCTTATTAACACATGAATACTACTATGTTTACATTTATATTTAAGAAGTACAATATAAGACAAGCAAAAGTTCAATTTGTGGGCCATATTTTTTTAATTTGCTGAGGGCCGATTCAAAATGGTCGCATTTGGCCCCCGGACCGTAGTTTGGACACCCCTGGGATAAAGCTTAAATGTATTTGTTGTTTTGTGTCTTTGTATAGCTCTTACGTTGATTTTCTGAGTTTTCAATAAATTCAAAATCATCAGTCAAGTGTACGGCCATCTTCCGGAGGGATATGCTGCACTTGGTGTTCCGGTTTCCTGTTGTTAGCATTCCAGCTTCACAGTAGCATGCAGCTAGTACGTTCTTGTGTGTGTAGTTAAATGGAAAATAAAGTGTGGAATTCCATATTAAACACACCGCCTCCGACTCCCATTCATCGGCTCTACACCACGCATATTTTTGTATTTAATTAAATTGCAGCCTATTGCGGTTATGTAATCGCACAAGCTGATATCGCGATTTCGATTGCGATTCGATTAATCGTGCAGCCCTAATCTTATCTTAATTTATTTATTGGAAGACATAAATGGCGCGTTTCCACTACACGGCCTCGCTCGGCCCCGCTCGGTATGGCTGGGCCTCGCTAGGACTGGCTCACTTTATGGCGCATTTCCATTACAGTTTAGGAACTGGGGCAGTATCTATAGTAACGCAGTGTAGGCGGAGCCGTGACGTGATCTTCAGAGGACCCCAGAAAAACAACACAGCCGTTAGCTGTTAGCACTCAGAGCTCACAGCTCCTCATATATGTTCAGAAACTAGACAAAAGTTAAACAAGTACAAACCACAGACTGCCTGTGTCATGGTGAATACAGTCGCTGCTTTATTTATGTCTGTATAGGCCGTTGTTGTGAGTGTGGACGGTCGGAGCATATACTGCGTTAGCTTAGCCAATCTCCATTTAGAAAACAAGCATTTTAAAAGGTTTTTCCCCTGCCGTCTGTCTGCAGACTTGACAAAGCATTAATTCATGGTTTTTACTAACCGGTATCAGTATGTTGTTACTTCGGCATCATTTTGAAACGTGTATTACAATTAAATCACGGTCAAATATGTCCATCTTGTTGTAGTTGTAGCCCCCTTGCCAGCGACGCTCTCTCTAGTTTAGCATACTCAGCCCGACTCAGCCTCGTTGCCTCTGGCCCTGGACCCGCGATTTTATGAGGCCAGAAAAACTGTGAATTAGGACCCGCCGGCCGGTACTAGGCCAAGTGGAAACGCAACCAAAGACGGGCCGCTGACGTCACAGCCCTCTTAAACCGGGCTGCGCGCTGTAGTGGAAACGCGCCAAAAGTTAAGCTTCATTCACACGATACCTGATTTTCTCTTTGCTCAACGCATGTTTTGGGGCAGAGCCTTGCACTGTAAAAAGCTAGTTGGCTGGCTAGCTTGCGCCACTTCATACAGCTGTCATTTGATTGATTGCGCCTCGAAAAGTCAGCGGTAAACAAGATAAAAGTTTAAATAATTTGAACTTTGAGCGCAGCCCTCTGCGACAATTTAGAGTGGTGCGCTACGCCGATGGTTAGCCTAGCTTAGCATAAGGTTTGGAGAAAGATGAAAACAGCTAACTTAAGTTAAAAATGAGCACTTCTTATCCTCTCTTATCAACATCCCAGGGGCCCTATTATGCTTTTTGGGAGTTTCCTTTTCCTTTAGTGTGTTTATATAGGTTTTTGTGCATTTAAATGGTCTGCAAAGGCTACAATCTCAAAGTTCCCTCCAGAGGGAGTTTCTCCTCCACACACTGAAACACCTCCATTGGACTCCTTTGTTTACTTCTGTAACATAGTGACATCACTATGTAACACTTTTGTTTCTATTGGCTAGCACTCCAGTACATTGCACGTAATAGGCTAAGTGGCGGGACAACTCTGAGCAGTTGACTACTAACAACAGAGCCGGCCAGCTATCCAATCAGAGCACACTGGGCTCTGGTTTCAGACAGAGGGGGAAAAGAGTAGCTGCAGTACAGGCAGTATGAGAAAAAAAGAGCTTTTTGAACATCAAAGCATGGAGAACCTGAAAATGAGCATAACAATGTGAACAAAAACTGAAATATAACAATGGCAGTTTATCGTTTCAGGGTAAGTTAATGAACTACTTTATGCCAAACAACAGGGAGGGGCAGTCAAGTCTTTCCAAATGTTGACTATTCTTCTTATATATATATATATTGTATACATATAATATGTTGGGATTTCTACCCTTAAATATGATCTCTCTTAGTTTCTCGAGACAGAAACATTTCTTGCATTTAATATCTAGTCAAATAAACACTGTTTCTTCACACAGCTGTTAAGCACAGGGTGACTCACCGTAACCCATTAAACAGTGTTCTCATTGGTGAACACTTCCACATAAAGTCAAGGGTTGCGGAGAACTTAATCTTTTTAACATTTTTCCCATTTACTCAACCGTGAAGCTGTGTCAGATTCTGTGGTTTATTAATGACCCTAATGTGGTTTAATTTTCTTCAATCCATCATGGTGTCAAAGCAGCCGTCAGTCTCTCAAACTGCGGATATTTAATTTCAGGAAGAACAGAACATTAACATCCTGTTCCTCTCAGCCTCGCTGCTCTGTGGGAGTTTTTTGTCCAGATAATAATCTCTCATTATGTTGCTACAGTCAATTAACATCCATTACTGTCAGACTGCATCTCTGAGTAAATGTTGACACTCGCTAATTCCCAGCAATACGCGGCTCGCCACATTTAACCTGGAAAAAGAAAACGTGCAGAGAGCCGAACTGACTTTTTGGGAGAGTTTCAAACACATGCTCTTTCTCCCTCATACCTTGTTCTTCACACAGTGTTTCACTTTAGCAGAACATTATTTTATTAAACCAAGGGACGAATTAGTATTGAAAATAGTCTTTTTAAATTGGACTTTTGAAAGTGTTTTATCTTTAATGAAAGGAACATACAGTTAACCTTATGAGCTGCAGAATATTTTAAAAATAAAGGCCATAAATAGACTTTTGATTAAAAATGTAACCCCTTACTCATTTGAACCCTTCTGTTGGTAAATTCAGTAAAAATAATATCTTAATTTAAATGATCCGCTGAGTAAAAAAAAAGCATGTCCCAATAAATTCACTTAAATAAAAAGAAAAAACACAAAGAGAATATCATAATGTTCACAATTTGCAAAGGTTTTAAAACATGCAAAGTTAAATTAAGGGCCACACACAGCATTTAAATAAATACAAAATTAAATAAAGGGTGCGTATTTAGATCATATAGCAGTTTGATAATGGTGTGTTTGCTGCTAATAAAATGTAACATCACTCTTGTCTCCTCTGCAGGTTGTGACATGTGTGCAGACAACAGGAACGGCGAGTGTCCGATGCACGGACCCCTCCACTCTCTGCGGCGCCTCGTCGGCACCAGCAGCACGCCGGCTCCCGTCACGATGCCCGACGTCCCTGATTGGCTCAGAGACCTGCCCAGAGAGGTGACACTTCCTGTTTGTCTGACAAATGCTTTTTACATAGTTTCAAGGTTGCAAAAAACATTGTTTTGCACTGATACCTTTTGTGAGTTTGCTTGCATAAGGTGTCTTCTTTGGAAAAAATAAGAAAAAATCACAAAACACACAAACATTCTTTTTAAACATATTAACGCAGAGATAGTGATGATCCTAGGGATTAATAAAAAAATCTAGATATCAGTACACTATTATATCTGATTATAAAAACATTTTATTTTAACTTTGACTTCAAGTGTGAAATTAAAACTTTTTTGTAATATTATGACTTTTTTTCAATATAAGGATTCTCTCTTATTTTATGCTTTTAAACTTTAGGACTGAAGTAGTAGTAAGTTCAATAATTGAATTGAATCGATAACTGAATCAGTCATTTCCATTTGAAGGACTCATTCGACCTGTGTGTTGTGTGTGCAGGTGTGTCTGTGCACCAGTACAGTTCCCGGGCTGGGTTACGGGATCTGCGCGTCTCAGAGGATCCCTCAGGGGACCTGGATCGGCCCCTTCCAGGGAGTCCCCCTGCTGCTGGACAAACTGCACTCTGGAGCCGTCAGGAACAGCAGACACCTGTGGGAGGTAGGTCACGTGACTACAGACTGCTGCTGGTTTTACTCTTACATGTTCATTTTATTGTCTATTATCTATGAAAGCATTCAATTCTGTTTCATCAAAAAAGGTTGTCAAAGGTATTCAAATATCGGGTCGGTTCAATCCACTTTATGTCGGGATGTGTATATTGTGTGTGTGTGTGTGTGTGTGTGTGTGTGTGTGTGTGTGTGTGTGTGTGTGTGTGTGTGTGTGTGTGTGTGTGTGTGTGTGTGTGTGTGTGTGTGTGTGTGTGTGGGTGTGTGTGTGCGTGTGCCTGTGGTCAGCGTCATGTCACCTCTCAGTCCATTGATCAGAGGAGATTGTATTTACATACAGTGGCAGGGGAAAGTCAATGTGGCAGTTATAAACAGCGGCATTAGCATTAGTGAGAGAGAGGGGGAGACAGAGAAAAGGTGGGGGGGGGGGGTGAGGCAGTGAAGGATGCTCGGAGACAGAGAGATGGATGAGTCCCTTATGGCCGAGCTGGTAAAGGTCAGTCAGACGTCGGTGGAGCGGACATCAGTCTCTCTGCTGTTGACCGCAGCAGGACTTCAGAAAAATGGGGGTGGGGGGTGCTCGAGGGGGTCTGAGGTCAGAGGTTAGCAAGGGTGGGGCATGCAAAGTAATCACGGGCCAGGAGTGAGCAGCGTGGCATGATTTGTGCTTCCAACAGAGAAAGTGTTGAGTTCACTGACAGCAGGATTTTACAGTTTTTTATATTTGATCAGATGCAGACTCTTCAGAGACTTTAGCGGTCACTGGAGAGTAGCTGACTGGGTTCTGTAACGTGACGTATGATATTGTATTAGACGTGACGTGACGTATAGTATGGAAAAAGTTGTTTACCTCCAAAGGATAGTCACTGATGGGAGCGTTAGCCACTCGCCTCAAATGAGCTTTTATTGGTTATATTTATGTAAGCGCCCAGAGATCCAGATGCATATTTAAAATAATACGAGGTTTAACAAGAAAAGAATGGAAAGATTTTAGATAAAACACTCAGAAAATACGTTTTCAACATTTTACAAAAAGGGCAATTCTTTAAATGGAGGGCATTTTCTCTATATTAAAACTGGGTTCTCAAAAAGTGTATTCATACAATTACTTTAAAGGTGGGGTAGGTAATTTTGGAGAAACCAGCTCGAGGGCGCTAGAATTTGAAATAACACAACTGGAAAAAAATCTGCCACTTCCTTACAGAGCCCCTCCTCCAACACACACGAACGCGCACATGACCAATGAGGGCACGAGATAAGTTTGTGCACAGATGGAAGGCTGACAGGCAGGTAGGCCATCCAGTTATTTTAGCCGGGCCGGCTAAAATGATTGGTCGTGCTTTTTACAGTATTACGGCTTCCACAGATGACATTTTTTTATGGATTTTTTGTCAAAGCACTTAAGATATTCATTGCTATCGGGATGTTAAGAGCATTCCATGGAATATAACAAAAAGTGTATCTCGAGCCGGTTTCTCAAACTTACCTACCCCACCTTTAATGAAAATATATAACTTTTTAACTTTTTGTAATATTGTGACTTTTTTTCCTCAACATTTTATTTTTGTCCTCCGAAAAAAGGTTTAAACTGATATCTCACTCTTAAATACTATTCCTTAGTATTTTGAAACTTGTATTTTTTTCTGTCTTTATTGTTTTTGTTGTCTCGGTTTTCTGTATGAATTCAACTACATTTCCATTCAATTGATATGTATAGATAGATAGATAGATAGATAGATAGATAGATAGATAGATAGATAGATAGATAGATAGATATACTAAAACAATCTGAATATGAAGTAAAAATAAGACTAAAGGTGCAAATGAATACAAATCCCCATATTATGGTATTTTGAAGCTGAGTAATTAAGAGTCCTTGTCTGGTTGTTGTGTTAGGACCCAACAGAGTGGAGCTGGGGCCCACTGTGGGTTCTCAAACCGGCCTTTGAAGCCCTCTGCCTCGGAGAACTGCTCATCCGATAACCCGGCTCTAACCATCGGCACATTATCGGCTGCCGGGCTAAAACCGGTCATTAGGTCTATTGATGAAGAAGCCTCACACGCAGATCCCATTAAAACTCACTGTTTGTTAAACTCGCCTATTGACGCCCACCAAAACGGGAAGAGATATTTGTCCTATAGCCAATCAGGGAGCTTGTGTCATGTTGTCTATGGCGTCCAGGAAGGGCCAGTTTTAATTAAGACACTTGCCGTTACGTCTGGGTGCAACAGGGTAGGATTTTCTGCCGCTGCAGTATTTTACGGCTCGACACATTGATCTCCTGCGAGGCAAGACTCGATGTGTGCGATTATGGAGGAATAATTATTTAACTCTCAGGCCCGGAGCTTCACTGCTTCTCTAGTTAGTCATGAGAAAGAGATCTAAACATGTTATTATTTTATATCTATATTATGTTTTGTGATTTTTCACTCTGCACATTTGCAGTTTGTTAATGAATCAGTTAATGAATTGATGGTTAGGGTTCAAATGAAAAGATAAATAATTATATTTCGTACTCTGGTTCCAGTTTCTCTTGTGCGTGGATTTGCTGCTTTTTTCTCTTTTATATCATTGTTCTTTCAACAAAATACCTAATAGTATATTGCAGTTTACCTACGTAAAACAAAATTGAACCAAAGTGAGGAATGTTTTTCATACCCTTGTATAGTTAAACAAAATGGAAAGGAAGGTCGGAAGGAAGTTACAGCAAACAAAAAAAATAAAGGACAAGAAGAAAGATGACATTATTTATTTTTATACTGTGCTTATCTTAAATCTGAATCTGCCAAGTAACCTGAAACTGAGTGAGTTTTTTGGGCTAAGTAACGTTTATTTTTTTACTTTCTATACTGACACTAAAGTAAAAATACACAGTCCTCCTCCGGGTCCTGAATTAATTGTTTAACTTAAAACGGGAATAAGATGAAGTCACGTGTCAAAAAGAAAGCATAACATTTTTTCAGCTAAAGAAGAAGAGGGTCAATGTTCAGAAAGAACACCGGAATCTAGAGGGAAGGAAAAAGAAGAATGGAGAAAACTAAAAGCAGAGATAATAAGGGAACTTTCCTTTATTATATTAATGATAGCTCATGACCTTTTTACCTTTCAGTATTTTTATTGTCTTATAAATTGCAACACGCTTGGATAATGGCCCCAGCTCAGAGGATATTGGATTACAGAATTGACAACTTTTTGATTACCATATTACTTTATTAAGTTAACTGCTCCTCACATCTTTGCAACTTCTGTACTGACTGCAAATGATTTGCACTTTCCAATGATTGGTTAGGAAAAATGAAAGCCCCTTCTCCAAACAGAAATCAGCAAGCACACAAAATGTTCATTCAATCTAATAATGATCTCATCTTATGTTGAATGATGAATGTTTACAGTAAACAGTTACTCTAGCCATGAAATCAATAAAGTATTTAAAGAAATATAGTATTTTATGTGGGTCGTATTAGAAGAAAGTGGATTTACTGCACTTTGGTCAAATTCAACCTCAGAACCAACTTCCAACCAGTTGCGTGTCTCCAAGAAACTGAGATTCTATAAGACACATATGTCTCAATTTTGTATTGGTTCCTATCTTTTGCATATTTCATATTTCTCCCGATTTAAATATGATGAGCATTTTAGAGTCCTTAAAAGTTAGGGTTAGGGTTTGGGTACAAATCTGGAGAGCTAACGTCAAATCTTTTGTTATGAAGTATGGTATTATGTTGGTTGGACTTAGTTGTTGTATGATTCAAAAGGAACAGGACTTATAATAGCCTGAACGTGCCAAGAAAAAGTCAGCACATTTTTGTTTTGGTAATATTTATCCTTTTTCTGTATTGGAATCTAAACCAAGATTTGATAAGAACTGGTTTTGGGTGCCCAATCCTGTTATAGAGTAACATTAAATATTCCCACTTGTCAGATCATACTTGTTGAGGGAAGGGAATGCTGTTTCCCGAGGATTCAAACTGATGTACTGCCGGGCCAAAACCTTCAGGCCGTTCTGATTGAAAAGTATGTGCAGTAAAAACAGGAGAACCGTTGTGAAGTCACAGCTCTGACCTTGTCCTCGGGGGCTTTTTTTACGGGAGTTTTCTTTTGGACAGATCTGAGACAGCGCGAGTTGTCAGCACAGAGTCAGTGAAAACAGCCCGGAACTTCAGAGCGGCAAAGAAAAGAACCTCAGCTACACAGTTTGAGGCAAAATATTTTGTTAGTGTGGGATGTTGATGAGACTCATGAGGATGAAGCAAATTCCAAAACGCCTGTTGGCATCTCGGCTTTTTACATCTTAAAACTCTATTTTCTTTGTCTGTGTCTTGGAACAGAATCACAGCTTTTGACGTCTTGACTTGGCTGTTGGTCTGTCCGTTGGTGTTTGTCTGAATGTCCATCATTGTATTCCCACTGTATTCCCTGCAGAATTCCCATTGACTTTGTGTTTTCAGTGGTTTGTGGTCACACCGTCCAGTAAAGGGTTCTGTAATGTTTTCTTGACTGATGTCATTATTTAATGTTTATGTAACTGTCTACAGTACATTCTGGGTTTTATTAGAGGGTCGTTGACATCATTCGTTTGATTACATAATAACCAATGCTTTTATGTCAAACTGCATGTTTTGGTTTCCTGTTCCTGCTTTGCTTGCAGTGAGGCATTTGAGTTTTTATTGATGGAATTTGGAAATAAAAGCAGTGATGACTACACTGATACAATGCAGCAGTTCAGTGGGTTTCATGTTTATCTGACAACCCTTCAGTGGTTCATGGGTACAGTGAAGAGATTGAAGGGCTAAGTCCTGTCACTGGCTTTCTTTGATGTAGTATATTTTAACCTGTTAAGCCCGAGAGACCCCGGTACCGGGGTACTGCCGCAACATCTTGCAGGAAACAGTGTCTGAGGGCATGTTCATTTAATAAAACTATGAATGTTTTATATCCATGTAACGGGAAGAAACTCATCTAACTGATCATTTTTTTTTTTTTTTCAAAAG